TTATTTAATAAACAAAATTTGAAAAAAAAATTATAATTAAATTTTCTATATGTATTTTCAAAATATTAATGAATAAACTGAAAATTCACTATTTTAATGAATAACCAAAAACATAATAAAATATCATTAAATTTTTATTCAAGAATACACTTTTATATTTTTCTATATCCCATATATATTAATTTATGTTTACAATATTAGTTATATTTACTTAACCAATGATTTTAAAAATAGACCAAAGTGATCAAACTGTAACCGTAATCCAAAAATAATTTATATATCTAAAAATAGTAGTTACTTTTTATTTGTAATGATTGGTATTTAAATTTTATAAGTTATAAAATATTATGAAATCAAACAAAACATATTTTAATTGGGTTAATATATGAATATGCTTATTTTACATTAAATTTTCTATCAAACCCGCACTATTTTTCCTATAAAACCGCATTTCAATTTCTATAAAAACTGCACTTATCCCGTAAACCGCAGTTAAATCGTACCGCACTTCAATTCCGTCCCGTTTATATTACCAAATCCTCTGTCACCATTCGGATCCTTAAATCTCTATCGTATATTAAAGATTCTCAGAACACCCGCATCGATTGTTTTCTAACCAAGTATCTCACCATAAATACTAGTATAAAAAATAGAAATAAGAAAGAGAAAGTAGAAAACAACAAAAACAATTCTATGGGAAAAGTTTTACTGTTCTTTTTGAGAGATAAAATCTACATGTGTCACCACCACACATTTTAGAGAGAATTACGTATATGGTTACTTTCTCCTGAGTTTCTATCATGTTCAGGTACTTTTTAATAGAGGTGTATTTTATGCCTTACTTTATGAATTGTTATTCCATAAATGCTCTTGAAACAAATGATATATTATTTCTGGATAAGTTAAAAGCAGAAAAGTAACTATATTAGGTAGCCGTTAGATTAAATTGTATTCTGATGGGAGCCGTTAAATTAAAGTCTGTGATTGTAACTAACTTTTTGTAGGTTTATTTGGTTTTGGGTTTCAACAACAACAGTTGGATTGTTTTTAGGGACTCGTGTAGAGTGTTGGGGTCAAACAATTTGTGGTCAGATGTAAATGTTATGTGGTCAGTGTTTACGTGCACTGAAGGAAGGTTAAAGACAAATGTCTCCGCAGAGAACCATTAAAGTTGAGAGCTTTAATTTGATATTACAAAAGTATGAACACTGAACATAACTCTTCTTCTCTCCATAGTGTCCCTCACCTAATAACCTCAAATCCCATAATCTATGTTTATTGACCACATAATTCATGACCTTCGCTTTTGTCCTTTAGAAGAGATCCATGGCCACATAACTTCTGTCTTTAACCCTTTCTCAGTTCAAGCATAGGCCTATGTTTGACGGTGGTGATTACGGTGGGTTTGTTTCTTCGTCGAATTGGAAGAGATAAATTACGAGTTTCAATATTCCAGATCTACAATAAAAAGAAGGGGATTTAAGTGAATCTACAATATAGGGTTAGTAGATTGAAAGAGTAAAGGACGTTCAAATCTGGATTATTGTTCTGGACTATGAGGAAAACTAAATTGTCGATGTCTAAGGGTAGAAGAGAAAGAGAAAGTGGGGTCACAATAGAGAAAGAGAGAGGAGATCAAAATAAAGAGAAAAAGTGTAGTTTCAGGGGTAAATTAGATATTGTCACATAAGAAAGTATGTGACATGGAGAAAGTATGTGTAAGTGATATAGACTTGAGAAAAGTATGTGTAAGTGTAATTTTTTCCACATTTTAACCCATTAAATTTTAATTACACAATTATCTTATCATTATACACTAATATATTTATGCTGAGAGATGCTTCTAAAGAAACCTATGATTAATGATGCTCTCATAATATATTTTCAGGTATTGGTTATCAAATATTATTGATACTAGGATAAGACCCGCGCCTTGAGCGGGATGAAGATATTATTTTATTATGTTTTGAAAAATGAAACAATAGTTCGGTTTCATTCGGATTAGAGGTGTTCAATCTGGATATCGGGTTTCGGTTTGGCTCGATTTTGTTGGTATTTCGATCATTAAAATATAACTACTATTCTAAATCTATATGTACTTCAGTTTGATTTGGTTTATATACCATCGGTTTTCAATTTATTCAATTTTATATAAAAAAACATAATTATTTGGTTTGAGATCATATTATATATTATACAAATATATAATATGATCATATTTAGAGTCATTTATTAAAAAAATATTATATATTTAAATAAAAGAATAAAAAACAAAAAAAAGGCTTCTATCATCTAATAAAATGATCAAATCTAGAATTAATAGCAAAACACTAAATTTTGAAAATAAAAATAAAAAACAAAACAGAAGCATGAAAGAAAAGTTTTTATATTCTTCCATATGTAGTGTTCATCAAACCAATATGTCTTCGATTGAACACAACTCTGTTCGTTTAAAGATAAAAAAAGTTGTAAAGAATTTCAACTAACTATTGTCCATCAAATTTATAATCTTTACTTCAATTTAGTTACTGTTAAAAAAGCAAAAGATCAAAATAAGAAGTCTCAGTTGTAATAAATTGTTAGCTATTTACAAATTATAATTATAGTTCAACTCATGTAACAAATAGATATTCATGCGTCGTTATAAATATATACATATTTACATGTTTTAGTTTAATCGGTTATAAATCAAACCATATCCAAATCCTATTTTTTTTATAAAATCACATCCATTCGGTTTGTATGGTATATACCAAAAATAACCATATTATCGATTGTTAATATCTTTTAAAAATATAAAATTAAAAAAAACTAAGATATTTAAATCATTGATAAAAAAGATTTTCAATGTGAAAAATTTAATAAGTTTATAATTTATAAATGTTCTTGAAAATTTATTGAAAATTTTGAAATTAAAATATTTATGTAATCTTATATGGTATATAGTTTAATCTGTATATATATATATATATATTTGTTTTATTATTGAATGATACTTTTTACTTATATGGTTTTAAAATCATGTATATCTTTTTATAATAAAAATTTTAAACTATTGATCATTAATTTTTAACATAATAATTTTAATAGTTTAGTTATTTATTCTCGTTTCTTAAAATTTAAAATATAACCTATACGAAAAAATCTAAAGTTTAATTTTATAGCTAATTTGATTGTTTAATTTATTTTAATAATATAAAATTAAAGAAAAATGATGGAGGATATATAAACTGTTATCAAATATTTATTATTAGAATCATTAAGCGTCATATATATATATATTAGTCATTTATCGTAATTCCGTAGGTTTTATTTATGGAAATAAAATAAAATAGTAATTATATATAGGGGAACAATCATTAAGTGTCATATATATATATTAGTCATTTATGGTAATTCCGTAGGTTTTATTTATGGAAAGAAAATAAAATAGTAATTATATCTAGGGGAACAATCATAAATGTTTTTATCACAAATATTATATCATATCATCATATCATATAATTTGACCAACGAATGTATATAGCGACGTATAAAAATCGAATGTGGACCTCCTTATTTTTCAATTGAATGTAATTGACTACCTAATTGAGTGACATCTAAGCCTGAGGTATTTTTTAATTATTACAAAATTGAGGTTACAATTTTTAAAATGTTTCTCCTTTAATATATAAGGGATACATATTTACCTAATTTGCAACTTCTTTTTGAATTTTTACCCGGTTGACTCAAAAATTAATTGGGAGTTAACAAGTAATGTATTATTGAAAGTTTATCAAAAGTTAAAAATGTCTATACATATGATTGGTTTGGTAAAAATATATTTACGGGTAAATGGGAAGGAAAAAAAAACAAACAAGTATATTGATACACACATTAAAACATATACTGACCCTTAAGAGGTACATGAACTCTCCTAAGAGTTAGATAGTTTTTCCTTTGATCTACATTCTAATTTCTAATTAGATGGTCGACTTATTTTTTTGTGGAAGTCATGTGGCCAAGTGATCAAATGGTTAAAAGATTTTACATCAAATCTAGAATTCCATTCTCAGAAAATGTATTTTTTTTTTTTTTTTTTTGCAAATTAAGATGCAAAGGTTATGAACGTCTTTTTAAAAATAGTTTTCAACAATAATCAGCTTCAAATATTTCAAATAATATAAAACTAAACGAGAATTCAACAAAGTTCAATATTTTAATTCTCTTTCATTGTGCTATATATGGTACCATATTTAACACTGATGTCATATTTAACACAAGTATTTAGCTTCCAACTAATAATGTGGAGGATTGACTCATTCTCAATATCAGTATTTAGAAACGTTTTTTAACAATGACATTGTATTTTGTTGTATTGTTCTTTTGAAATTGTCATAGGTGTACACAGATAACAGTTAAACATTTTTATTTTGTCAACCAGAACAGTCAAACATTTATATCTCAAGGGTAAAAAAAAAAAAAAAAAAAAAAGAACAGTCAAACATTTATATCTCAAGGGTAAGACTAAGAGACATTAAACGGAGCATAAACTATGTGTATGCGAAATTTTGTGTAACTTCATTTTTGTATTTTCCAAATTTCAAATATAATTAAATCATGTTTTTACTCTTTTGTTTGTTTTCTTCTTGATAACGTCGATTTCATTATCCCTTTTGTGGTTGAAACGAATCTTTTGTTTATTTATCAGAATAGAATAATAATCGAGCATATCCGGAGAAGCTCACGAGATTAGTCATGCTGACATGGAAACTAGCTGTCTTGAGCAATCATTCATCTTTAAGATCAGACACCTTCTCCAACCATAGATCGACACATCACCACCAATCCGCACTTTCGCGGCGCCTTGTATCAGTTTCGTTGATTTCGGATAGGTCCCATCTCTGTCATGCCCACGCTATATAAATTCTCTTCTCCTTTTACTGCTTTTCTTCAAACCTGAAAATAATAAAAACAAAAATACATTTCTTTTTCTCCTTTTCTTTAAATTTTTAAAACAGATGGATCGGCAAAATTCCGATGACATCATGAGATTTCTCGATGGAATGGCTAGTTCCGACGACGTCCTCTTTGGTTTCCTCGATGAAGGGAACCAGTCACCGGAAGACTTCAACCTCAACGGCGGCTCAGATATAGACGACCTCGACGACAATAGCAATTGCAATTCTGAAGAAAACAAAGTTTTCTGGCAAGAACAAGAACAACTTCTCCAGGTAAATTTTTGTTTATTCTTTTCAAAAACATAATTAATCGTCATCTTAATTTAGCTCATAACTTAACGGTCTAAATTTTGTTTGGAATTGTGTAGGGGACACTGTATAGGACAAGTTCGATTGAGACAAAGATTAGACAAGCGACAAAGGAAGCTTTGAAACAAGTTAAATCAAAGGGTCTTCATTGTGTATGCCCGCGACAGGTTGATGGCGGTTGCCGGAGCTGCTTACGTGGGGAAATCTCTCGATACCTCCGAGATGTGGCCGGCTACGACTGCGTCATCTCCAAGTCCAAATGGAGAAGCTCTCAAGACATCCCTGCAGGTTAGGACACATATTTGTGACTCATTATTAAAATAACTAGTGGCCTTGAAATGTTTAACCATTTTTGTCTATCATCAAAATCCTCAAGATCACGTCAATGTCAATTTTCAAATATCTAAAATAAATATTTTTTTTTTGTTAGAAAAATGGACAAACATTATGTCCACAAGAACACGAAAGATTTTTTCAGACCCATTCTTTAATTTGTTGCTTTTAAGTATCAACCAAAAATCTGATTTCAAATTTATGTTTTATTATGAGTTTGCCTAAACGAGTATTTGGACTGACTCGTGTAATATATATTTTTTTGAAAATCAGGGGAACACGAATACATAGAGATCGTGGACCGATCTGATTCAAAGAAAGGAGAGATGCGAGTGGTGATCGAGTTATCATTCAGGGCAGAGTTCGAGATTGCAAAAGGTGGTGAAGAGTACAAAAGGCTTATCAGCCGATTACCTGAGGTTTACGTCGGAAAAACCGATAGGCTCCGATCTTTGATCAAGATATTGTGCATCGCGGGGAAGAAATGCTTGAGAGACAATAAAATGCATATGGGTCCATGGAGAAAACACAAGTACATGCAAGCCAAGTGGCTTGGCACGTGCGATAGATCGAACTCCTTGGAAGCGGCGGTCTCGGAGACAACAGAGCCTGAGAATTGGGTGCCGAGGGCGAAGCCTAGAATTTCTATGTTGAACTACGATGGTCTGCTTGGTAGTTTGTCCACCGGGATGGGCCGTCATGCAGCTGTAACGGTCGTGTGATATGTGTGTGACGCAAGTAATAAATGACTTGTAATTATTGATTTAATTGATTAGGGCCAGGGGAAGTGAGTGTTAAATTAATAGTGAGTATCAGTTTAGAGTTAACCGGAATGTGTCTCAGCGGCGTAGCCTTTTGACCGATTATGTCATCGTTGTAGTATGAAAAAATGATAATTTTGTGACTACTTTGCGGTTGAAATCAGATTGTATACTATAGGTTTTTGCATGGAATTTCATTCATTCATTGCTAAGTTAAGGAGATTTAAATTTCGTATTATATGCAACCAATGGATCAGTTATATTTGTCAATCGATTAAATGCAATTAACATCTAGTCAAACTGCTCCGGCTAATTCATAATTTAGCATTAACATTTTATCTTGTTGAAAATGGATTTGACTTTTTTTGGAACTAGAGTTTTCTCTCTAATATTCTCTCCGCCACCAAAACTTCATCGTGAGATTTTCCGCTTTTCCGGTGTTAGTCGCTCCTCGACGGCACCGGAGAGGATTGATAACATTTGTGAAATAAGATAGATTTAGCTCTATAGAGCTTTATTGAAAGCTAATAGCTCATAGAGCTTTATTGAAAGACTAAGAAACTAAAGAAGAAGAGAAGCTTGAGAGTTGTCTTCAAGAACTAAAATATAACGTTTGATATCATATAATGGTTGGAAGGTGGCTGCTTATGAGTGCAGCCAAAGTTATCTACACAATTGCAATTACACAAATTTATAGTATTGAATCATGATAGGAACCCTAGATGTTATGGGCTGATGGGCTTCACTTGATTACTTGGGCTTAAGTCCTAATACTCCCCCGCAAACTTAGCTGCAGGTGAACACGAAGCTGCTGAGTTTGAATGCACAACCTGTTTGAAGCCTTAGCAAGATAGGATCACAAGTTTGATGTACTTGTAGGCGTAGAAGACTAGTTGATGAAGAAGTGTGTTGTAGCAAATCCTGGACACATTGATGGAATTGATAGAAAAGCTGATAAGAGCAGAACATCTCTTCTTTGAAGCTGGACGCAACTTCATGTTAGACTATACTTGTAGAACTTTATGAGCTCTCTCAGAGGTATGTCTGGCCATAACTATTTCTGGCCATAACTTGGTATGCACTTGTAAAGCTAATGTAACTCTCTCAGAGGTGTCTTTTGCACTTGTAGAATTATCATAACTTTCTCAGAGGTGCTTCTTACCATTCCCTTGGGTAGATACTTGTAGAGTTTCTAAACTCTCTCAGAGGTACTCCCTGTTGAAAACGAAAATCACCCACTGCCGTCAAGCTTTAGGTGACCATAAAGTAACTATGTCTCAGCTTTGAGTGAAACACCATGCTCCTTCTTTGCTTGCTACACGCTAGCCTTCAACATAAGCACTCTCATAACAGTTTGCTGCCGCATCTTACTCTTACTGTCTTCTCAATAACCCAACAATTTTTTTTTCATTAAATCACCATCTCAATGATTATTCTTCAGCACTTTTTCCTTAGAATTTCATCAAGCATCTTGTGTGCATCCATCAAACCAGGAACTTTCAGCCATAAATCCCATCATTATCAAACCAAATCACATCATTGCTTCACTTGTTCAGACCTATGGTCTATACCAGCCATCATTACTAGTTCACTAACCACAGCCTACTCATTTAACTTCATGTTCCAAACGTACACATCTAAAACAATCCAGCCAACAAGCTTAATCTATCCAACAACACTTCGTGGCAGAAGAGCAGAAACATTACCGTGACTGAGTCACATCACTCGTGTCTCCTTCATGGCAGAAGCTAGAGCTACTAATCTCTGCAACCTCTGTTTGTCGATTCAGATAAGAGAGTGTCTTTTGTCGGGACTTGAAGTATGAGCTCACTGCTGGACATTCTTCATATTCTGACCCAAAGATGAAGTCCATGTTAGCTTTGCTCTGAATCTGATGACAGCTTCGACCTTGATTTTTTTTTTTTTAGTGAGCTTAGTGAAGACTTGAGAGGGTTTAGATAGAGTGTGCGGAAAGTAGAAGATGATAGGGTAACCCATGAAAATCGACTGAAGCTCTGATACCATGATAACATTTGTGAAATAAGATAGATTTAGCTCTATAGAGCTTTATTGAAAGCTAATAGCTCATAGAGCTTTATTGAAAGACTAAGAAACTAAAGAAGAAGAGAAGCTTGAGAGTTGTCTTCAAGAACTAAAATATAACGTTTGATATCATATAATGGTTGGAAGGTGGCTGGTTATGAGTGCAGCCAAAGTTATCTACACAATTGCAATTACACAAATTTATAGTATTGAATCATGATAGGAACCCTAGATGTTATGGGCTGATGGGATTCACTTGATTACTTGGGCTTAAGTCCTAATAAGGATTACCCCTCTTTTTTTTCTTCGCTTTGATATAGCCTTAGTATGGTGTTATAGAGTTCTCCGAAGTTTGGATGTTAGTGGTGATCTGGCTTGTTACAGATTCAGCTTGCCACTCCGTCGTGATGACTAATCAAGGTGACGGTGGTTCATGTACCTTTTGCTTTTGGACTTGTGACAGCACAAATGTCATGATCGATACTACACCGCCTTATGTTTTCCTATTTAGTTTTATTTCCTATTTCTATTATGGATAATTATCAATTTGTGTTTCCAAAGCCTTTTACGATTAGGTCTTTGTGTTTTATATATAAGGCTATGCCTTGATGAAGTTTATTAATAAGAATCAAGTTTACAAATCATCTTCCTCTTTATTACTTTCTCTGCAAGCAACATATCATCCTTACGATCTCAGGTTCTTAGAGCTGATCCTTCTTCCTACGTGATCAACTCCTAGGTCTGTGAATCCCCTTCCTTCTAACCTGCAAGCAAGGTTACTAGTTTGGGACTTATACCCCGCTATCCTATCTCATTGGTATCAGAGACATAGAATCCTCAGGACCTAACCATGGAAACAAGGACAACCGCAGCTTTCAGCGATATGAGCAAGCAAATCGACGAGTTACGCTCTTCACAAAACCAGCAAACTGAAGAACTCGGTAATAAAATCTCCGCACTCGAAGCACTTCTCGAAAAGTTCCTTGCTACTGCCTCACCCCCGCAACGCGACGGTAAACAAACGGACACAGGTTCTGATGTTACGGATGGAACGCCGCAAACTAAGACACCACCAGACCGTTCCAACCCAGAGACCAGTTCCACCAAGACTCACGACAACAACAACCCACCGACTCATCATAGTCTATCGGCACGACTAACAAAGATTGGTTTTCCAATGTTTAACGGCTCCGAACTACGAGAATGGATCTACCGATGTGAACAGTTTTTCTCCATCGACAGCACCCCACCGGAATTAAAGGTTCGTCTTGCATCTCTTCATATGACGGGAAAAGCCCTCCAATGGCATCACTCTTACCTTGCCAATCGATACAACATCTTCCCACTATGGCCGGAATATGTTGCTGCGATCTCCGATTGTTTCAGTGAGCTTTATGACGACCCATTAGCAGAGTTGGTGAGTTTGAAACAAGGAAACGATACCATCGATGTGTACTTAGATAAATTCGACTGCGCCATGACTAGAATCACGCTTGCTCCGGATCATGCATTAAGTATATTCTTGACAAACATGAATCAACATCTGGCTCTTCATGCTCGCCAATTCAAGGTTACTACGGTACCTGAAGCTGCAAAGATCGCCAAACTACACGAGCTTTCCCTCTCACATATGCCGCCAAAGACATCGCGCCCTCCCTTCAACTACTCTCAACGATCAAACTACTCCCAACCCACTAAAAGCCAAAACCATAATTCCACCTCCTCTACCAACACCACCACTCCAAACAACAAACCCCTCATCGCGAATGCTCCTCAAAAACGGCTCTCTTTCGACGAGATGCAGGAACGCAAACGCAAAGATTATGCATGTTCTGTGAAGAACCGTTTACACCGGGTCACCATCTTAAGCATAAGCGAGCTGAAATTCTGTTTTTGGACTTAGACGCTGAAACAGAATTTGATGAAGAGATTGCTTTAGTGGAGCAAATCCGTGAGACAACCATAAGCGATGACGATGACAAAGTTCCAACAATCTCCGTCCATGCCCTCAACAGTGCACCAACTTTCAACTGTATGCGCCTCATCGGACAATACGAGAAACGCAAACTACATATATTGATTGATCCGGGGAGCACACACAACTTCTTAGACATCCAGATGGCCAAGGGCCTAGGTTGTTCTTTGACCCCAATCAAACCAATGTCAGTTGTCGCAGCCAGTGGCGACTTGGTTACTAAGTACAAGTGCAGCTCTTTTGCTTGGAAGATGCAAGGCTACGGGTTCACAGCTGAGATTCGAACCCTACCACTCGGATGCAGTGATCTCGTCTTGGGTGTTCAGTGGCTTTCCACCTTAGGACCAATCCTATGGGACTTCTTGAATCTTCGTATGGAATTTAACTTCAACGGGCTGAAACACGTCCTTCGCGGAGTATCGCCAAACAGCTCGAAATTAATTTCCGGAAGCAGCCTCAACAAACTGATGTTGCAAGAACCACAACTAGCTCTACTCCATCTTCGCGAGGTTGACGACACTATAGAGCAAGAACCCCTTGATCCAGAAACAATGCTCTATCATATTGCAGCAAGTGAAACAGAGAATGACTATACCGGCTCGCTCCAGAAACTCCTTGACTCATACACGGACGTCTTTGCTGAGCCGTCGACCTTACCTCCTTATCGCGAGGGTTTCAATCACAAAATACCGCTGGAAGCAGGATCAAACCCTGTCAATCTCCGACCGTATCGCTACTCTTCGATACAAAAGGACTCAATAGACAAGATGATTCAAGACATGCTTTCTCAGGGTATTATTCAGTACAGTGCAAGTCCCTACGCGTCACCGGTTGTACTTGTGAAAAAGAAAGACGGATCTTGGCGCCTTTGCGTCGACTACAGAGGTCTCAATAAGCAAACAATCAAAGACAAATATCCCATCCCACTACTCGAAGACCTCCTTGATGAATTGGGCGGCTTAAAATACTTCTCTAAACTGGATCTACGTGCAGGTTTCCACCAGCTCCGTATGTCTCCAGAAGATGTGCACAAAACAGCTTTTAAAACACATTCAGGCCACTACGAATACTTGGTAATGCCATTCGGTCTCACAAACGCACCTTGCACTTTTCAAGGGCTTATGAATCACGTCTTCACACCTGTTCTACGCAAATTTCTCCTCGTTTTCTTCGACGATATATTAATCTACAGCAAGACCTGGGAAGAGCACCTTGTTCACTTGGACACAGCCCTTGCTATACTTCGCCATCAACAACTCTATCTCA